CTCCGGTGGGGGGAGGCGGCGAGGGGCTGAGGATCGTGGGTAGCCAGCCTGAGGTCGCCGCAGGCGCCTCGCAGCTGCTCGGCTTTTGCGGGTGGGAACCTGGAAAGACGTAGCTGAGAAATCTTGTTCAATATCTAACCTTGCTGCGGGACAGGGTGTTGCCTGGAGATACCGAGCCTGCAGATCTCCCGCTGTGGTGCACAGATGACGGGTCTTCGGATGCCACGTTGAGCCTTGTCGTAAGCTTGTGTGCACTGAGCCCCGTGCGATGTTAACCCCATGATCACAGCGCTGCTTTTCTCTGAGCCCATTAGAGGACCGATTTATTTGAAACGTCACCTAACTTCCAACCTTCTCAAAAGCTTGTCTGCTCTTGTTTCTCCTCTGCAGGTTAGTAGCCTAACTCTTGTGCACAGTATGCCTTCGGTGGTCTTTATCTCACGGGCTTTATCGGTCGTTACAACCTGAAGCTGAGGGACTTGCAATGTAAAACGTGTGTGTTTGTATATATATATATACATTTTCAAGAAAGGTGCATGATTTATTATACAGTGTTATTTGGACTTTATTGTTTGAACCCTTAACTTAACCTCACTCTCTTCAACAAAACGAAATGGCATTTTACTGGGATTCCTTATACTGTAAGTCTGGCTACAGGCAGGCTGTTTTGTTCTTTTCACCCCTTGAACATTAAAAATAACCCCGAGAGCTCCCTGTACTGATGAGGGCTTATTTCCTGTCAGTAATGTACAGCATTGTAGTGAAGAACAAAACAACTCTTCTCACCCACTCACCTGCCTGATGGTTATAAGTTCTTTTTTTTTTCCTTTCACTTCCCCTGCTTCTTTTGGGTAAGAATAGTAAAGTTTTAATCTTTTAGTCCCCAGGGATCACATTATCAAAATGAGAGAAGGAAATATTTGGGGGGGGGGGAGACACCTGATAATGATTTTAGTAGGATACTACAAAGGTAGGGTATTTAATTACCTCCCCACCCTCAGGTGTTGTGAAAAGGAGTCAGGAGTGAATGGAGAAAAGGCGTGACAGTGAGCTGAGCTGGGACTGCAGAGTATTAGAGAACATACCACCTGCACAAAGGGCAGAACAATGTGACAGAGAGCATGCTCAGGACAATACCAACATACTGAGATAATCAAACTGTGGGAATGGAGTTATTTTTATAGAAGTGGCATTAAGTTTTAATATGCTCATTTAGTTCTCATATATTTGTTGTTAAACTTAGGATGGTCCCCACTTTGGAACCACTGGCAAAGAAGATCTTTAAAGGAGTTTTAGTAGCTGAATTTCTGGGCGTTGCTGGAGCATATGTTTTGTTTAAAAAGATGGACACAAGCCAAGGTAATGATAATTCAGAAGTGAATGTTTTATAGAGGGGTATACAGTTTGCTAATGCATTTTAGGTGCTAAATGGCATTGTTAGAAAAACTGCTTCTTTAGATTCAGAGTCATTAGGCATTTTTACTATGGTACAAGGGGAAACTAGGTGTTAACTATTATAAATGATTCTTAGCTTCCTCCTAAAAAATTGTTTGCAGCCTAGCCGGTTTGGTTCAGTGGATAGAGCGTTGGTCTATGGACTGAAGGGTCCCAGGTTTGATTCTGGTCACAGGCACATGCCTGGGTTGCAGGCTCAGTCCCCAGTAGGGGGTGTGTAGGAGGCAGCCGATCAATGATTCTCTGTCATCATTGATGTTTCTCTCTCCCTCCCTCTCTAAAATCAATAAAAATATATTTAAAAAATTGTTTGCAGACTAGGGGATATGTTTCACACGTCCCTGGGTTTTCCTAGTGCAGGGGTGGGTAATAGAGCTAGTGTCCTTAGTCTGGCTTAGTTTGGGAGCACAGATGTAGCAAATGCACCTCACTATTTGGTAGACTGAGGGTAGCATAGCCAAATTGTCAAAGTAACCAGTTTCTTAGGCTTGCAGAGTTCTGCATCCATACTAGGCACTGAAAACCTTTCCCATGCTCTGGCTATTACTGAAAGTGCTTTGACCTATTGTGAGGTGAAATTTTATCTGAGAGCTAACAAACCATTTTTTTTTCCCCAAGTATGTTTTTATTTTTTCAAACCGTGACCTCCTGGTTCATGGGTCGACACTCAACCACTGAGCCACATCGGCCGGGCTCACAAACTTTCAAATTAGGAAGTGCTGCTTTCTCTTTTACTAAAGCAGGGAATAGCAACCCCCAGTGGTGGCCATCTTTGAAACCTGTCATTTGTTTTCTTAAAAAGTACTTCACTGGAACAGTTCCACGATGCTACTGGATATTCAGTCTCTATGCTTTTGTTGTTAATCCTCACTCGAGGATATTTTTTCCATTAATTTTTAGAGAGTGGAAAGGAGAGGGAGAGACAGAGAGAGAAACATCGATGTAAGAGAGACACATTGATTGGTTGCCTTCCACACTGGCCCCCATTGGGGCCCAGGGATTGAGCCTACAGCCAAGGTACATGCCCTTGACCAGAATCAAACCCAAGACTCTGCAGTCTCTGGGCCGATGCCCAAACCTGAGCAAAACTGGCTAGGGCAGTCTCTATGCTTTTAAACTATAAGGGTATATAAAAAACCATCCAAATAGTATTTAAAAGCAAATTAAAGTTTAAGATCAACTTAAAAAATGGGTATTGTAGTCTTATTTCTAATTCTAAAACAAGGTAAAATTGCATCCATAAAAATACTTTATAAAAGTTACATAACAGAATTATACATTAACATTGAAAATTTGCTTTTAAATATCGCTTCTAAGTAAATTACATCATATATATATGTCAAAAATGTTAAAACTCCGAAATAACTATGGAAGGCTATATGCAAGTGCAGTTTAGACCCAAAAGGATATAGTTTCTGGATTACCAGGACCTTAACAAAAATTTCTAATCTGTGGTATCCCTACTTTATACGCCTTAAGGTTAAAATATGGCTGCATATTTTAATATAATGAATCTCTAATCATGTCTAATTTTAAGGTTTTTTTTCCCATCAGATTTTAGGCAAACAATGAGCAAGAAATTTCCCTTCATCTTGGAAGGTATGTTTCAGGTATCCTGTTCATCTTATTGGTATTTATAACTTTCATCTTAATTAAAAATAAAACTACAAAAAGATGTTTTCAGGTAACCTACATAAACTAAATAATAATTTCTTTATGACCAATTAAGGGCAAAATAACTATTTTGTGATGTTAATTAAAAAAAAATAGTATTCATCCCTATTTTGGCTCCTTCTGAGAATAGAGAAAATTCTCACTTAGAGTTATCTAGATGAGAGCAGTTAGTTCATGGGCTGGATTCTTAATTCCTCCAGTAGTTAAAAATGTAGACTATGGAATGAGACATACCCGAGGTGGTGATGGAATCAAACCCAGCTTACAATTTAAAACCAATTTCAGGTTTGTTAACATCTTGGAGCTATTTCTTTCTCTGTCAAGTAGAGATGATCATACCACTTCACAAATTGTTATAAGGATCAAATGAGGTAACATTATGTAATTAGCACAGTATTTGCCTAATAGTGCTCATTACAATGATTAGTACAGGTGCTAGAGCTTCTACATGAAATACTAGCAAGAAGGGAAAGTTTATTTCTCAACTAGTAGCCCTGTGCACGAATCCATGTGCCACTAGGTCGCTGCTGCCCTCCTGTAGCTCCCCCCCCCCCCCTTCCCCCTCTTGCTTGCTGCCCTGCCCCCTCCTGTAGCTCTCCACAGTCC